TAGTTAGGGTTTTAGCATGTCATAGCGCCATATAATCAGAGTCAAATGGCGCACCATCCGGCTAACAAAACCGGGACTGCACCATCCCGGGATTCCCGGCTACATAAAAAACGATTAGCGCGAAGTACACACGAACAACCCCGTTATCGTCGGAGTAGGCCACCGGTTGGGTGGGTATAAATACCCCACCACAGTGACATCAAGGGATATAGAGTACACACGAGAACATCAACAGAGGGAGAAACCGCGAGAGCCAAACCAACAGCAGTAAACTGAGATCAACAAAGGGAGCAACAAGACACCCCAGTAAACAACATCATCACAACACACAGAAGCCACGACCAACAAGCCAAACACAACGACCCAACGAGAAATCGAAACCCGAGAGTCACAGCCAACAGTGTATAGCCACACAAAACACACACACACCGAGAACACAAATACAATCGAGAGCAGAAACGCAAGCAATATCAAACATATAAACCCAAAAGTCAAAGCCCCAACATAAAATCCAAGAAAAAACAAAAATCAAAGCAAAGCAGATCGAAGAGCCATCGGGAAGGTTTAGAGTTTTCGTCTAAAAGGTTAAAAATTGAGACTTTCTAGGCTAGATCTACACCGATTTATAGGGTATTTTGTTGTTTTGTGGCTGGATCTGGTATCGGGGTGTTAAGGGCTTTTGAAGGGTATGATTGGTTGGTATCCGGCCACCGTGGGTGGTGGCCGGAGGGTTCTTTAGGCGTTGGCTGACGGTGGGTCTCCATTGGAGAGGATGGCCGGAGGGAGGAGCTTTGAGAGAGTTTTGAGAGTTGAGAGAGTGTTATCAGTTTTGAGAAGTGGTGAGAATGAACGAGGAAGAAGGGTTTTTGGGTATTTATATACCGAGGACTAATGTGCAATTAAAGGATTTTTATATCCTTTCCGTCGTCCCTGAACGTTTGAGTCGCGATTCAATTTGGTCACCATCTGTAAATTTGCCTATATATTTCCAATTTAATCAATTTAGTACCTATTTATATTTTTTATATTTTGTGAATTGGCACCTAACTTTTTGTTTTTTTCTTTTGCAGCTTTTTTAATTCCGATTTAAGCCATTAATTTCAATTGGTCTCAATTTGATCCTCTAAGTGGTTACTCTTTTTATATTATTTAATTATTTTCTATTTATTTTGTTTCTTCTTTTTTGTTTTCTTTGATATATATATATTATTTATTCTATTTTTATTTTATTTTACTCTTTTCCTTTGGCTCTTTCTTTCTTTCATTTTCTTATTTTTTATTTATTTAATTTTTTATTTATTTAATTATATATATATATATATATATATATATATATATATATATATATATATATATATTCCCTTAATTTATCATTTATTTATTTTATTCCTTATTTATTTACTTTTTTTTCTAACATTTTTGACTTTTTTTATAGAAGAGTTCCAATCGATCAAAGGTAATTAATTCGAATCGAATATTTCAAGTTTTAATTTAAATTCTTGATTTTCGCAATTAAAAGGCAACCGATAAATTAATTGGTACCGAAAGGGCGGTTCAAATGTGCTAATCATTTCTTGATCGTAACCGACTCCCGAACCCAACACTTTTATGGTAAAACGCATATCAGATAAGATGGTGTCCGATCTACCTAAATATCGTTTTAAAATGATCGGTGGCGACTCTAACCCAATCAATTCAAGTCGAAGCCCAATTTCGAGCCCAACAGAAAGACGATTCCGACACTATCCTTGGTAATACCTTCTGTTGTATTCTGTCTCTAGGATAATTTATTTTCTTGAGCTACATTGTCAATATCTATGGAAATCAATAATATATATATATATATATATATACATATTCTCTATTTTAGATCATTTTTAATTAAACCAGTAATGGGCAATGAGACTAGAAAAATATTATACACATAACATTGCTTTAATAAAGAAGGATAGCATTTGTAAAGATGATGATTGAATCGACTGATTAAAGAATTTAATTCGACTACCTTAGAATGTTTAAACAATCATTTACGTCTAGATTTATTATTTATGTTTCATAATTAATATGTTATTCGACTAATTCAAATTATTCTTTTTCCCCCCTTAAATCCATTATAGAGATGACCTCCCATATCCAAATTAATTTATTTATAACATCAAAAATTTCTATTTTTTTTAAAAGTTAACTACAGAAATGATCACTTTCGTTTAAGTCACTGAATTAAAAAAATATAAGATTTGGTCACTTCCGTTTCGTTTTAATTAAGATGTGGTCACTGAAGGTTAACGACCGTTAGACTTTTAATGACTAACTGACGTGACATGATAAATATATAAAATTAAAATTACATCATTTTCACGTAGATAATACGGGTATTCAGTTTTTGTCACTTTTCTTTCAAAAAAAACATTAGTTTTGGTCACTTACGTTATTGTTTTATTAAGTTTTGGTCACTTACATTATCATTTTATCAAGTTTTGGTCACTTCGACGTTAAATGTCATTGGTTTGATGAAATGGCCCGTTAGTAAATTTGTTTAATTTTTATTTTAATCCCTACACTTTAGACAAAATACTAATTATGGGTCTTTTGTAAATTCAAATTGGTTTAGGGATAACATTTCAATTTACCCATTTTTTAATATTTTTTTCTTCCCAACCTCCAATAATGTTCATTTTCTCCCTGCTTCTACTTCAGACATCTCTGCTCCATTATTGCATCTGCCTTCTTTCAAGGATTCATGCAACATTTCAAGAATGATGAAAGATTTCCAACTTCTAATAACAAATAATAGCACCACAATTTCAGAGAAAATGAGAGAATAGACATCTAGAGATAAAATAAAGCTGAATAATATCAATTATACAAATTAAAATTTAATTTCCAAAGGTTGAGATTTCAGAATGTCAAATCCAACAAGGAACAAGAAAATATATCAATTGATTCAAATAACTCGATAATCGGATATCACTCTTTGTGGTGATATTTCTTTGAGAAAGCGCCTCCGGTGAAATGTAACTAATGGATTCAAATAATTGGATAAATGGATCCGTAAATTCATCCACTGAACTTAATCCAAAATTCATTATCTTCAATGTTGAATCTTTATTTTATCTCAATTACAAGCAATTTTCTGATTCTAGGTCCCAATGAATCACCGTTAATCCTTGTGGCTTCCATGATCTATAGCACCACCGCGTCAGCCTCAGAGTACCTCATTTCCGTAACGACCTGATTGAATAACTCACAGCTGGAACAAAGCTCCAATACTAAGTGAACGTCAGTTTGATATTCGTAAACGTCATGGAGGTTTGAACATGTTCAGATGCAACGAAAGGTTCTTGACGATCTTTCGCATAATGGGGATTTCGTTGGTTAACAAAGCGTCGGAGATGGAAACTTGGTACTATGTCGTTAATAATGTCGCCATTGAAGAAGCTCTAGTTTTCTCAACTCGAGGCACTGACGTTGTTGTGGTGGTGAATCTTTTCAGAGTTTTAATGGTGAATTCTCTACATTTTTCACAATATTCATTACTTCTTTTTATACCTTTTCTTACAACTGAGAATTCACCTAATATGACTTCAAAGAATTACAACTAATAATTAGAAACAACAAGGCTATTGTAATAGAGTAAAGATGTCTGAAGAAGAATCGAGGATAAGATGAGCAATATTAGGGATTATGGAGAAAAAAATATTAAAAATTAGAAAATTGAAATATTATCCTTAAACTAATTTGAATTTCAAAAAGGCTCATAATCAGTATTTTGTCTAAAATTTAGGAGTTAAAATAAAAATTAAACAATTTTACTAACGGATCACATCATCAAACTAATGTCATTCAACGTCTAAGTGATCAAAACTTAATAAAACGATAACGTAAGCGACCAAAACTTATATTTTTTTAAAAGTAAAGTGACCAGAACTTAATTCACGTATTATCTATATGAAAATGATGTAATTTTGATTTTATATATTTATTGTACCACATCAGTAAACCGTTAAAAGTTTAATGACCATTAACCTTCAGTGACCACATCTTAATTAAAACGGAAGTGATCAAATCATATATATTTTTTTAAATTCAACGATGAAAAGTTTATAAAACTTAGACGGAAATAACAATTTCTGTAGTTTACATTTAAACAAAATTAATGTCTCGTCTCGTTCAACTAATTAATAATTGATTCTAACGCAACGTCCATGGCAGAAGTTATATGTAGATAATAAGTAAAAAAGTAAAAAACCACAGTTATATCATCTGAGCTATTTCATCTTATTTATGAATTTTCGACCATTATTTAAACATCATATATATATATATATAGAGAGAGAGAGAGAGAGAGAGGTTCAGACATTTCATTTATTGATGGACCCACGTGTGCAGATTTTCTTTGGTGATGAGCTGTTCCTCATGCATCCAAAGCTGAAGTAGGTAAAAACATTTGACAACACTATTATAAATGTAAGAATTATTTATTAATAAATCTTAAAATTATTAAATGTTGCGTTTAAATAATTAATGTGAATTTAAATATATTATTTTGTTAAACTTATTATTTAAGGAGAGAATCGTTCATTATCTAACATGAATAATCTTATTACAAACAACGGTAGTTAAAATGAGACCCATGGCCTTGTCTAGTGGCCATATAATTCAATACATTGTTTTTACTAATCTGATGTTCAAGAAACAGCTTCCATACAAATATTTGTTGAGACACCCTGCAATTTCATAAATGAGACTCAGAAATTAGATCTCATCATACTTTGATATCTCATCTAACCTTTGCATGATTGATATCCGAACAACACCGGATCCGACATCCCACGCCGTCGACTAAACAGATAAAACAACACTACAAAAGAACACGCTGATCATATATGCAGGCAATGTAAATCTATTCAAGATTGAAGTTCCTGAATTGTGAATCAAAAAACTTGTGTAAAGGGCCGATTCAACTAAGCGTTTAATGAACGAATACGCATGCCCCGGCGAGTAACATAAGTATAAAATAAACTATGAGGAACTATTCTACAATTTTAAAAAAATAACGAGGTTACAGATCCCTTCTGCACAATGGACAAGAACCATGGCTGATAAGCCACTTATCTATGCAAGGCAAGTGGAACATGTGATGGCACTGTGGCAAGCTCCGGACCGTTTCTCCGAGCTGAAAGTCCTGCATAAAGGTTCAATCTGATAAGCTTCTTATGCAACTAGTTTTACGAAAATCGGGTACGATATGTTTATACCTGAAGGCAAACGGAACATGAAACTTTCTCCCCGGAAGCGTCTACATTGTTGTTGTTTGTAATTTTGATCTTTGGGATCTTTTCAACCAAATCTCCAGCCAATCCTTTGGTACCACCAATGTCGAATATGTTCTGGAAATCCTCAAAATTTGTTTCAGCAGCTCCCATCTGGTAACAGAAACTGAAAATCATTAGCAAATTGCTGTTTGATGGAAGTGATATCAAGTTGGAGTTCAATTCTTCTTACCTGACTTTGGACCGCGCTCAGCATCGCCGGACCGATTCGTTCTCGGACAAGCCTCCCACTTAGAAGGCTTGCAATGACATCAATCTGGAAATTTGCAGTAAAACAAAATTGATTTAGATTGCTTAGAAGAATTACTACAACCAAAGAAAACTTATGCAAATGCTTCCAGGAACTCATCGGTTAAGCCGAGGCTAAACAAGTCCAAGGTCCGGGCATGCAAGGGTCTCATAGAAGGCTAATAGTTGCTATTCAAAATAGGTTCAAGGCATGCCACAGGCGTCGAATTATGATTCTTGCCAATACGCTAACGAGTACTCAAGTTCCTGAACCATTTTTTCCATATCCCTTCTTAGAAAGTAGCAACTAAACACATGGATGAACCGAAGGGACACGCCCCAGAAAATTTCAAATTTTATTGTATTTTCCATCGATAATCTCTTTTCGTTCTCCTAAAATTTTATAAATTTGTGGATAAAACATAAATTCCTAATCCGTTCCCGACTAAACATATAAAACCAGGGCAATAAACAGGAGTGCTGACCAAGTAAAGCAAGCAACCGATCCTGGATTCATCAGACTGCCAAAGAACCAGAGACGACTCGAAGACTTCGATCGAGAAAACTGCACCGGAGATGGCCCCAATTGCAGCGCCCCGAACGAACCCACTCTCTGTTTCTTGTCCGATCAAAGCCCCTGTCATGGCCCCTAACAAGGTGCCCACTGCAGATGAATTTCATTAGCAAAATTCCAGTGTAAACAGGCTTAAAGAATTCTAAGAATCCAAACAAAAAGTCTTTAACTCAAGGCGTATTTTGGTCATAAATGTAAGACAAATTACTTCCAGAGTGCTTTGTCGAAATTGTCGGCACGCAACATCATTTTTCAAACCATTGCAATCCAACAAAAATGGAACAGAATCTTAATTAGATTCATCTTTTGTGCATATAATAACAATGAGGAAATGATAATAATTACTATAAAAGAGCAACAGTAAAAATACAAAAGAAATGATAACAATGAGGTTCCAATGAAAATAGTTCTAAATTAGATCATCAACGATAAGTCCAAAAAAAAATAGAAGCTTTTGAGGAAACAATGAAGCATAACATAGGACAAGAGAAAAGGAACCAACCTAATGCAAAGAAGAAGGTTAAAATCGCAGAGAAAATATTCCCAATGATGACAGAAACAGCGAAATTGCAAGAAAATTTGATCTTTTCGACGAAATCTCCAAACAAAGACGATGAAGACACTGAAAAACGAGATGGGTATGCGTAAAAATCCATTTTTTCCCTTCTAATTTTTGAAATCAAACGAGAAACGAAATGAAAAAGGCTTCCTGGTTATAAACTAATAGGGGGTTTAAGAAGAAGCTTATATATAGTGAAAAAAAGGGGGGGAAAAAGAAGAGAGGTAGGGTGGGTATGCTTAGTGCTCAAGAGAGGAAAATCAACCAACTCGCATTAAAACTTAGGGTAAAGTATAGTAATGGTCACTGAACATTTCAGAAGCTTGCATTTAGGTCTCCAAACATTTAAAACTTGCAATACAGTCTCCCAACATTTATTCCGTTTACAATATGGTCCCCAACTTAAACCACAGTTAGAAAATTAGGATAAATTATATAAATGGTCATTGAACTTTTCAGTCACTTGAATTTAGGTCCCCCAACTTTTAAAACTTGCAAAACAATCATCAATTTCATTCTAAACCCCAATTTCCAAAGTAATTCAATTTTATTCTAAACCCTAAATTCCAAAATACTTAAATTAAATTCAATTATGTCAAAGTTATTATTATTTAATTTCATCTTATTTAATGTGATACGTATTTTTTTATATAAATATAATAGTATAATTCTTATCTGTTGAAGAAATTTTTTAATTAAAAAAAGTAGTTAGGATATAAAAGAGGTTGAAAATAATTCGAATTTTAAATTTATAAAAATTTTATTTTGACGTATAAATAAAAGTGTAAACTACTCGGTTGACAACTTAACTATCTAGCCCTTTTTACTTTTGTCATCGATCTTTTAAATTTATCAATCATACCACATAATTATTTAACTGTTTCAACTAAGCCACTAGTCGTTACCAATTGATAAAAATGATGATGTGGCAGTTAAAAGGAATTGACATTATTATACATTCAGTCTTTATTATTTATATAATCAATTTGGTCCTAAATTAAATAAAATTTAATAAATTAATCATTTAATTAGGATCTGACATGTGTTAGCACATGATCATGACACGTGTCATTGGTGACACGTGTTACCACCTAATTATATATATGCTATCAATTTGGTCCTAAAAATAAAATTTAATAAATTAATCATTTAATCAGGATCTGACATGTGTTAACACATGATCATGATATGTGTTATTGGTGACACATGTCACCTCCTAATTAGAAGAAAATTAAGTTACAAAGAAGTAAAATTTGGGTCTTGGGCAAACTCAAACCTGAGTCACGCAAATGAAAGATATAGGGTGGAGCCACTAAGCTAACACCATCGTTTGTGTTAAGAGATATACAATAATACATATACTAATAGTATGACCAATGCCAGAAAAAAAAGAATATAATGTAAAATGGAAATAATGAGATTTGAACTTCGGCAAACAATTTGAAAGCAATAAATGATGGGAAAATATTATATTTTTTACAATAAAAAAATATTATATTTGATAAATTGTTTGATAGATTTAATATATTTTTTAAATATTAGTTGATACAATATTTTAAAAGAATAAATTTAAGATTTATATATTTTTAAACTAAATTTAATAATTATATTTTTCATATTTATAATTCATGATTATATATATAATCTTAAGTTGAGTATTTCTAATATAATTAATAATTTTAATTTCTTATTAAAAATAAAATATTCAAAAAATATAAATGATTCATACATTAATATATGAATATATTTTTTATTTATACATCTAAATATAAATATACATTTATATAATATATTTTATTCGTTGTGTCTGTGCCTTGAACTCTTTCTTCAAGCCTATATTACCTTAAATTGAAGTATTTTAGAATTTAATGAAGTATTTTAGAATTTAGGGTTTAGAATAAAATTGAATTACTTTGGAAATTGGGGTTTAGAATGAAATTGATGACTGTTTTGCAAGTTTTAAAAGTTGGGGGACCAAAATTCAAGTGACTGAAAAGTTCAATGACCGTTTATATAATTTATCCTAATTTTCTAACTGTGGTTTAAGTTGGGGGACCATATTGCAAGCGGAATAAATGTTGGGGGACTGTATTGCAAGTTTTAAATGTTGGGGGACCTAAATGCAAGTTTCAGAAATGTTCAGTGACCATTACTATACTTTACCCTAAAACTTAATATTTTTACGATGCAGACCCTGTTTTCTCTCTCTACCTGCTGAAACATGAAAATTTATGTCTTTGGGGACGAAGGAAAATATATTCACCATTTTCTCTCTCCATGTTTTAATTTAATTATGGGTAAAGTATAGTAATGGTCACTGAATATTTCTGAAACTTGCATTTAGGTCCCCCAACATTTAAAACTTGCAATACAGTCCCCCAACATTTATTCCGTTTGCAATATGGTCCCCCAACTTAAACCACAGTTAGAAAATTAGGATAAATTATATAAACGGTCATTGAACTTTTCAGTCACTTGAATTTCGGTCCCCCAACTTTTAAAACTTGCAAAACAGTCATCAATTTCATTCTAAACCCCAATTTCCAAAGTAATTCAATTTTATTCTAAACCCTAAATTCTAAAATACTTCAATTAAATTCTAAAATACTTCAATTTAAGGTAATATAGGCTTGAAGAAAGAGTTCAAGGCACAGACACAACGAATAAAATATATTTATATAAATGTATATTTATATTTAGATGTATAAATAAAAAATATTCATATATTAATGTATGAATCATTTATATTTTTTGAATATTTTATTTTTAATAAGAAATTAAAATTATTAATTATATTAGAAATACTCAACTTAAGATTATATATAATCATGAATTATAAATATGAAAATATAATTATTAAATTTAGTTTAAAAATATATAATCTTAAATTTATTCTTTTAAAATATTGTATCAACTAATATTTAAAAAATATATTAAATCTATCAAACAATTTATCAAATATAATATTTTTTATTGTAAAAAATCTAATATTTTCCCATCATTTATTGCTTTCAAATTTTTTGCCGAAGCTCAAATCTCATTATTTCCATTTTACATTATATTCTTTTTTTTCTGGCATTGGTCATACTATTAGTATATGTATTATTGTATATCTCTTAACACAAACGATGGTGTTAGCTTAGTGGCTCCACCCTATATCTTTCATTTGCGTGACTCAGGTTTGAGTTTGCCCAAGACCCAAATTTTACTTCTTTGTAACTTAATTTTCTTCTAATTAGGAGGTGACATGTGTCACCAATAACACATATCATGATCATGTGTTAACACATGTCAGATCCTGATTAAATGATTAATTTATTAAATTTTATTTAATTTAGGACCAAATTGATAGCATATATAAATAATTAGGTGGTAACACGTGTCACCAATGACACGTGTCATGATCATGTGCTAACACATGTCAGATCCTAATTAAATGATTAATTTATTAAATTTTATTTAATTTAGGACCAAATTGATTATATAAATAATAAAGACTGAATGTATAATAATGTCAATTCCTTTTAACTGCCACATCATCATTTTTATCAATTGGTAACGACTAGTGGCTTAGTTGAAACAGTTAAATAATTATGTGGTATGATTGATAAATTTAAAAGATCGATGACAAAAGTAAAAGGGCTAGATAGTTAAGTTGTCAACCGAGTAGTTTACACTTTTATTTATACGTCAAAATAACATTTTATAAATTTAAAATTCGAATTATTTTCAACCTCTTTTATATCCTAACTACTTTTTTTAATTAAAAAATTTCTTCAACAGATAAGAATTATACTATTATATTTATATAAAAAATGCGTATCACATGAAATAAGATGAAATTAAATAATAATAACTTTGACATAATTTAATTTAATTTAAGTATTTTGGAATTTAGGGTTTAGAATAAAAATGAATTACTTTGGAAATTGGGGTTTAGAATGAAATTGATGATTGTTTTGCAAGTTTTAAAAGTTGGGGGACCTAAATTCAAGTGACTGAAAAGTTCAATGACCATTTATATAATTTATCCTAATTTTCTAACTGTGGTTTAAGTTGGGGGACCATATTGCAAACGGAATAAATGTTGGGGGACTGTATTGCAAGTTTTAAATGTTGGGGGACCTAAATGCAAGCTTCTGAAATGTTCAGTGACCATTACTATACTTTACCCTTTAATTATATAATATCAGCTCATTTAAATAGTGCAAAGTGATTCACCACTTCAATGTCAAAGTGACACGAGAGAGTTGGAGATGAAGAAGCTTCTTTCAGACACGAGACATGTAGCATTGATTCTGAAATACGTAGGGTATACAAGAACATTATGAGTGATGGATCACATTTTTCCTGGATTAGAATCATAATTATATGATTATTTTTAACAAAATAATAATTTAATAAGGTTTATTTAGAAAACATATGATAATATAATATATCTTTTAAGATTCGTTTAGTTTACAAAATATAAGATTATCTTTGGGAATAAGATTGTCGGAATGTAACATTACTCTGATAATGTTGTATTATCCAGTTTAATTTACTTAGTAAAAATGTAAGATTACAATATTTGATTAGATGAATATACTACTTTGATAATGTTGTATTATCATGTTTGGTTTGATTAGCAGGAATGTAAGATTACAATTTTTGGTCGGAGAAATATAAGATTAATTTGATGCATATATTACCAAATTATCCTTGTGATATATATTTTTTTAACAAGTAAAACTTTAATATTAAATAATAAATATTTAAATGAAAATTTATAAAAATATTTTAATTATTACACTGTATAAGTTTAAATAAAAAATATATTTAACATATAATTAATATAATTAGTATATCAAACTTATAATTTTAAACAATTTTCATAAGTATCATGTTTATTTATATAAAATATAATATAATATAAAAAATAATATTGTTATCTCGAGTGGACAAATATATTAATTTTTAATGCATAAGATCAAATTTTTAATAACTCAAAATTAAATATTATTTTAAATAATTATATTTTTACAATAGTAATATTTTCACCTATAAATTTATAAAATAACTAATATACTAAATATTAAAAATATAAAATTATTTTAGCTACTCAAATTTATTAATATTT